TAGATAGATAGATAGATAGATAGATAGATAGATAGATAGATAGATAGATAGATAGATAGATAGATAGATAGATAGATAGATAGATCTTTATTTGCCATTTGTGCATAGTAGCAGTTTACAAACATTGGAATTCTTGTGCGGGCATCACTCCTAGTCACAGTATAGATGACAGAACAGTAATAATAGAAAAAACATTATAAGGTCTAAGAAAATAGAATAAGAACAATAAAAAAGGAAAAAAAAGGAAAAAAATATATAAATATTTATACATAAGCACACTAAAAAAGAAAAAAAATTAAAGATAAATTTCAGCACAGTAGAGGGTGTGGCATAATAGCACAATAGTACAATCAGTGTGTCAAATGTAGGACCTGTATGCAACTTAGCAGCATTTCACATTTCTTAGGGATGAATGAATAAATCATATTGCACCGGTGGGACATGAGGCAAGACACTCAGTAGCACCTGCTTTTCAGAAATCGAGTCTTCTGTGTGATGATACTGTCCGCTCTGCTGTCTCAGGTTGTACGTGCAGCGTTTGAGTCTAAGCAGAGAGTGAGCTGGGTGGGCTGAGTCTCTGCTGATCCCCTCTGCTTTTCTCTGGCAGCGCTGCACGTGCAGGGATTCCATGGATGGAAGTTTTGTCCCAACAATCCCCTCCGCAGTCTTAATGACTCTTTGCAGAGCCTTCCTCTCTGCCTGAGTGGTGTTCCTGTACCAGACAGTGATGCTCGTGGTGAGGATGCTCTCTATCAGTCCTCTGTAGGCCTGGGTGAGAGGGTGGCTGCTCAGACCAGCTTTCCTGAGCAGTCYAATGAAGAAAAGCCTTCTCTGTGCTTGTTCACTGTGGCTTCAGTGTTAAGAGCTCAGCTCAGGTCTGATGTAACCTGCAGTCCTAGAAATCTGTGGCAGTCCGGTCTCTCCACCTCAGTCCCTCTGATGAAGAGGCTGTAGAGGGGAAAGATTCTTCTTAAAGTCCAGGATAATTTCCTTAGTCTTGTYTGTGTTCAGGATGAGGTCATTCTCCTCTCCATAGACAAGGATGTTGTTTACCAGGGACCTGTATCCTGACTCAACTCCTTCTTTGATGAGCCCCAGGATGGTGGTGTCATCAGCATATTTGATGATGGGCGCGTTGTCCTGGGTGGATAAACAGTCATATGTGTACAGGGTGAAGAGTTTGGGCCTGAGGCATCAGCCTTGTGGGGATCCTGTGCTGACAGTGAGCTCAGAGGACACCCGTCCTCCCAACCTCACCACCTGCGGTCTTTGTCAGAAAATCCAAAATCCAGTTGCAGGTGTGAGTTGGGACACCAAGGTCTGCCAGCTTCCCAATCAGTTTGCCTGGCCGAATGGTATTAAATGCTGATCTGTAGTCTAGGAAAAGCATCCTGGCGTACGTCTTGTTGCTGTCCAGGTGTTGCAGGACGTGGTGGAGGGCTACCGCTACTCCGTCGTCCACTGAGTGGTTGGTGCGGTGGGCAAACTGGAGTGGATCAACAGTATCCGGCACTGTGTTGTTGATGTGGGTGTGAGTTAGTTTCTGTAGACACTTCATGGTGACCGGTGTGAGTGCCACCGGCCTGAAGTCATTTAGTGTGTGTGTGTCTGGTTTTTTCGGGACTGGTATTATAACGAAGGATTTGAAAGTTCGAGGGACCACAGCCTGGGATAGTGACAGGTTGAAAATGTCCGTGTACACGCCAGCCAGTTGTTCCCCACATGCCTTCAGCACKCTGGGAGGAACTCCATCAGGTCCCGTAGCCTTATGGGGTTCACATTCCTCAAAGCCTTCAGGACCTGCGTGTGTGTCACCTGAAAGACTGTGTCTGTGGTTTCACAGGGAGCTTTTGAGGGTAAGTCTGTGTTCATCCTGTCAAACCTGGCATAGAATGTGTTAAGGCTGTCTGGCAGGGTGGTATCTCGTGGGTCTGTGGTTGCTGTGCTCCTCCTGTAATTTGTGACAGACTGGATTCCCTGCCCATACTGCGTGTTTCTTGATTGAGATAGTAGCCTTCAAATTTTTTGTAGTGAGCTCTTTTTGCAGCTCTGATTGATTTCTCCAGCTCGTACCAGGCTCTCTTGTATTCCACCTCATCTCCTGACTTGAAGGCAGCCTGCCTATTCTTGATTTTCTGCTTTACATCCTTATTAAACCAGAGTTTCTGGTTAGGGTATGTATGGATGGTCCTTGGAGGTGCACATATGGATGTGCACCAGCTGATGTATTCATTCACCATTTCTGTGTATTCATGAATGTTGTTAGTGGCCTCTTTGAAAATGTTCCAGTCTGTGGCCTCAAAGCAGCCCTGCAGGCTAACTTGTGCGCTGTCAGTCCAGGTGTTAATGGTTCTTATTGTTACTGGTCTTGTCTTCAGCCTTTTGTTGTTTGAGCCAGATTGCCAGGTGATCAGACTTTCCAAAGCGGGGTTGTGGTTCAGCTGAGTAGGCATTTGTTATGTTGCTGTAGCAGTGGTCCAGTGTTTTATTTCCCCTGGTGGGGAAGGTCACAAACTGATGCACTTTGGGCAAGGTTTTCCGGAGGTTACAATGGTTAAAGTCTCCCACAATAACTGCAGCTTCAGTTTTCATGCATGTTAATTATCTCATGTAGCTCCTTTAATGCAGCCTCCTCCTTAGCAGACGGAGGAATATATACAACATTTACTATGATACATTGCAGTTCTCTGGGCAGATAAAACGGTATATATATATATA